TCCTCAAATATCAGACAATCCCCAACACAAATAATGAGCTCTAAATGAACTTGAATATATGAAGATCCCATATTTGATAACAGAAAATGGAAAGTACATACCTGTGAGATGAAAAAGGAAGATTTTCTCTGAACCTTTTGTTTTACAGAAACTTTGCTCATTGACTTTTAATGACATGTCAATGAGACAAGATGAAGAGCGCCCTCTATCTTCCAAAAGTCACAAGTATACCTAAAAAAAGTTGGGGGGGCCTCAATTCTGATATGATTTTGAGAGAATTTGATGTACATTGTTCAAATAAGGCAAAATACATAATTCATAGCACATTTTAGCATAAAATACATTTACTCAGGAAATGAGAGGCTGGTGAAGGAAATGAGGGGCTGGTAACAATTGGTCAAAGCTTTTTCGATCCTTGTAATAAAACAAAGCAATCCACGCCGTATTCTCGCTGTAGTCTTTTAGTACCGAGTTATACTTTTGCGTTAACAACCAGCAGCTGTGTAAATAATGTCTACCGCTAAAAGCCATCTTACTCAAAGCGCACGTACTGCCTCCGTTGGATTTTTTACGATATTTGATGAACTGGTCAGCTGCGCAGTCGTGCATTATAAACAAAGTATACACGCCGTCAAACACTTTTTGATAAAGTTCAATTGCCTCGTTTAACTCTAGTCGTTCCCGATCTAAGTCGCATAAATTAACGTTGTCGTCTGCATAGACCCACAGCCACTCCAAATAAGTTTTATTTTTAGACAACGTTGGACATATAATCACAATTGCTTCAAACGCGAACCTATATTCAGTTTCCAATAAATCAAGCATCCATTTTGTTTTACCCGACCCAGTTTTACCCACGTTCAAAGCGCAGTGTGGACTTTTATACATTTGATTCATTTTAATTTAAAATCGATTTTATCAGTTTTATCCACTTTTAACACACAGTGTGGACTTTTATACATCTCGTTCATTTTAATTTAAAATCTATTTAATAAACCAAGCTCTTAAAATTCCCGTCTTCCACCGTCTACGGGCCTGCAGTTTCAGCTTCATGTTCCATCTGTATCAATATGTCGCCACCTCCGCCGAGTGGTCTACCCGACACGTGAGCCAAGTTATCATCAGAGCTCCTAAAATCAAGCCACAAACCATACTTATCTTTCAAATAGTCGGCCATGTCTACTCCAGTTAAGTTTAGGTCTTTGGCTACCGCGCGAGCCGATTCAGTGTCCGAGTCACCAAAATGCTTGTTGACTTTGTTCCACTGTTGATATGCAAATAGCTCTTGTGAATAAAGTTGATTTGGCTTGCCTTCGACCGTTACGACCGTTTTATCTATATGCAGATTGTGAAATCTCTTGGGGGTTTTAACGGCCGGATCTTTGAAGAGGATCAAGACGCCTTTTAGACTTTTAATCGTTTGACCGATGCTGATGTTCCATAGCGTATCAGACTTGTTTACCGCTTGTTTCTTCCACGAGTGAATCCTGTCAAATAGGTAATAGACGGCATCTTTGTGCTTGGCCCGCAGGGCCTGCGCCAGGTCTCAGTTTGTGACGACTTTGCATTCTCAGGTCAAATCAGAGGTTGCATATTCTGCGGCTGTGTCTGCCGAGTTAACCACTTTGTCGTGTCGGTTAAAAGTCGACTGATACGCCAGAGGCTCTTTAAACCACGACGGATAAAAAGGTCCGTGGCCCGTCAACATCGGCGTGTCTAACAAAATCGCTTATCGATTTTTAAAAGCGTCTGCAATTGCTTTATCTTTACCATTGTTCGCAGCTTCGTTTTTGTCGCCCGCACCTAAACGCAACTTGGCCACGTTTTCACGTGTTAGGCTAAAGTACGCCATGTTTTTCATCTGTGAAATTGGTAGCCAATTGTCCTTAACATTTTGAAGTATATCTGCGTCTCTGTAACTGATGATTTTGTTCCCCTGTCACCAATGTGATCTACGTCAGCACGCTGTCACCAAGCATTTGCTCGATGTTGCTTAGGTCAGCTTGCAAGTCTGCCAACTTATCTTTAATTTCTTGTTCTTTTCCTTAAGTCATTTCTGAGTTTAAGTTCTTTTTAAAGTAAACTTCTTTTTAAAATAAAGTAAACTTAACTGTACCGGTAAACCAAAGAACCAACTACAGCAGTTCCGCCTAGAATCCATACTAATTCTCTAACCTTTTGATCTCCCGAAGGGACGTAGTAATTGGATAACTTTGGCTCAGGAGGCAACGCCGGCAACTGTTTACCCGTCAATTCACTGTAAGCTCGTAATGCTTCGTCCATGTTTACAGATGTCTGTTGACTCGCTCGCTATTGGCGCATTCGCTCGTTTAGCAAGTCTAACATGTGTAGGCGATTTTGCTCCCACTCTTGTTTTGCTTGCGCCAGTTGTTCTAACGCGAGGTCGTGGCGTTTACGTTCCCCGTCGATTTTACTTTTTGCCAGACTACCAAACAAAAACTTTGAGCCCGTAAATGCCAGAGCATTTACTATCGCTCCCGCTACCATCATTAAAGCGCTCACCGTTTTTTTTTTCAAGTTTTCAAGAAAAGGAACAAGAATTTTCAAAGTTGTTTTACAGCCCCCAAGGCTATTGGAAAGGTGAAAGCGCCGTCGACCATTTACACGAAAAGACTGGTGCAGACAAGTCAACCCTGCGATCCAGGCAAAAAAAAACAAGCCATTTGGCAAATTTATTTACCCGCACCTACGTACTTGCCGAGGCCTGTAATGTCGCGAACCGAGTTTGTCAAACCAACCGAAGTGCATCAATTAGATATTTTGTACTTGCCTCGAGTTAAAAGAAAAGCGTTTAAATACGCTTTAACCGTATTAGACATCGGTTTCCGATATAAAAAAACATAACCGTTGACCAGTAAAATTGCCGAGCAAGTGTTAGAAGCCGTGAAACAAATTTATAAAAGATTACCCTTGACTTGGCCCATGGGTACAATGGTAGACTCGGGGTCAGAATTTAAAGGCGAGTTAGGAAAGGCGTTTTGGTTCAAGTGGGAGAGTCGGGTGTTCATAGGTAGCAGGGGATCGTGGAAAGGTTTAACAGTACTTTAGCTGAAAGGTTATTCGGTCATCAATACGCGCAGGAAATGTTAAATGTAGGCGAACGTAAAGTAGAATGGGTACAGCGTTTGCCTCAAGTCGTGAAATCGTTAAGCGAAGAAAAAACGCGTTTAATCGACAAAGAGCCCGCAGAAGCCGTCAAAAACAAGCACCGAGTGCGCCTCCTAAAACAACTCAAAGAGAACTTCCCCCAGACGTTTTAGTTAGGTATGTGTACTACCCGGGTGAACAGGAGGGAGGTACCACCAGAAAAGATACCGATCCAATTTGGTCAGTGGACGTTTATTAAGTGGAGAAGCGCACCAGTCAATTTAAGCGAGCAGGGGGTAAAAAAGTAAAAACGGGTTCAACATTGTACTATCAGTTAAACGGGACAAATAGAAGTTTCTTCAAAGAAGAGTTTCAGGTAGTACCCGAGGATACCTAATTACTAGCCGAGACCTAACTGTGCAAAAACTGAATTAAGAGCCTTTTCTTTGTCTTTAAAATTTGAGTTGTACACCCAGGAGTACACCTTTGCACAGCGCTTTGCACCGACGCTCGAGATACCGCCTCGTTTTGCCCTTCCCAAGAAAAGGTGCTTATCAATGTCTGTCAATAGTTCTCATTTTATACCTGAGCGCTTTAACAATGCACCCCACGACAGGCCCAGTGATGTGAATAGTTGGCCGGGTCAAGGCAGTAGTTCTTTTTACAGACTTTGTGGAAGTTCTTAAATACACCCGCTTGTAACAAAACGCCCGTTTCCACGTATAGGTGGTGGTAGTCACCTAGGTTTTTACAGTTAAACGTGTGCCATACTGTTTGTGCACGGGCATGTTTTTTCTCGGTCACGGTGGTCTGTTTCAGAGAACTAAAAAAGACGTCTCTAGGTGGTAGGCTCCCTTCTTCAAAACGGTCAAAGGAGTCGATATATTCATAAGGGTAAACGCCCTTTTCCAATAATAAATCTGTGTTTTCTGGGAATCTTTTCCGAAGTAAGTTAAAAAATTGGGTGAGCAATTCTTAACCAGTCAATCTAGCGAAGCTGCCATGAAATGAAAGGAGTCTAGGAACCTAAGATTGCCAAATGAAAACGAAATGTAGTTCTCAGTATTTTGAGCGATTAATTTGATTTCTTGGCCCTTAAACTCGCAAGCGCCCTGCATGATTAAATGCACGTCGTATTTCTCCAAATTGTGTAAAATAACCGGAATGGGCGTTTGTTTGGGTACGACTCTTAACTTGAGATTACAACTGGCGTGCGCTGGACCTCGGTACTTACCCGTCAAGTGACAGTGATCTCTGACCTTTCTAAATTTGTTGATAGGCTTTGTACACGTCATACGTACAGAGCAATTCTCTGAACCCAGCTTTGTTTGCAGAACTGTAAGCAGCTTTTTCGGCCTTTGTTTTTGGTTCATTTGGAATTGGGCACTGACACTGAGATTCTTTTGTCTTGTAAATAAGCTTTTCACAGATCCAACAGCGATTACAACTTTCGTAGATTTTTTGTAACTCGCGCAATCAAATCAAAGGCTTTTATTTTCAAATGTTTCGTTGGTCTTATCTGCTTCCTCAGAAGGAGACCTGACAAAATCACCTGCCGCATCTTGGACTCTGTTTGTCTTTTGACTCGTGCATTTACCGTCTCATCTCACGACTGCGTAAGAATAGCCGCAAGGCTTGTGGATCTGGGTTTTGACCGTGTTAGACGAAGTCGGTGGAAGGCGTTCTAATTAAAACCGACTCAAAATCTGCGCATTTGGCAAAAGGTGCATCTTGTTTGTTTTTATAGTTTTCAAATTGTACAATTTTTTACCTTGGGCGGGTAATTGACTTTACAGGAAGCCGCATCTAACCCTTGGCAATCTTCTTTGTTCCCGCTTAACTTTTCTTCTGTTTGGAAGTGTGACATGCAGTTAAAGCAGCAGTATTTCTTACCATCGTGTTTATTCATATCACCCGTCAACCGAGCTAAGTTTTTAATCCAACAGTAGTGGCTCTTTTCACCTAGGGTAAAATAAAGTAAATTGATCGGTTTGCCCATGCGCTTAGTTTTGTAAAGTATGTAAACACCGTCTTTT